AGATGAGAACTAGAGCTTCCAAGCGCGGTTGAATGAAGTATTCTCCCATCCTTGTCATCATATCGTACTAAAATGAAGATTTCAAGTACTATAAAATTCAACACTTCAAGATTAGCGCTCACAGCAGAATCCAAGTACTGCAGTGCCAACTCCAAGTTTTCCGTATAGAAAAAATAGAGCTTTCCCAATTGAAACTTCACATGTGCAGCCATTTCTGGTGATAAAGAAAGCGTCAAGGCTCCCTAAAAACAATAAAATCACTTTTGTCTCAGAAATAAACCTGTTATTCTAGATTTTTAAAAGAAAGATTTACCTTAGCACATTTGATAGCCATTTTCACTTTAGGTGGCTGCAGTTGCCTCAGTGTTTCAGCCATCGCCAACATAGTCATGGCTACATGGTCACCCGATGACATCTCAAACAATAGAAATTGTTGTTGTTGCAATTTTTAAATCTCTACTCATATTAACTATTTAACGTTTACTACACAGACATAACTGAGAACGAAGAAGAACAAAAGCATTAACGCATTACTACCCATATCAATATTGGAATAATCGTATTTTGCTGTGGAACTTCTGCAAGTGCAGGTCACAACAAGCAAAGAAAGGGAAGTGAAAAAATTGCTGACGTATAGGATCTTTATGAAAGAAAAGCTATAGCATCATAAAGTTTCTAATTAGATCCTTTGCCTTAATGAGCGAAGTCAACAAAAGATTATGTCAAAAAACCAGTAGTCTCTTGAGGTTACATGGAGTGATTATTTGCAGATGACACCCTATCGCTGGACACGATTGCGAATGTATTTGATTGTAACCTCCTGTCAAGCTCATACAAGCCTAGCTATTTCAACCTTCACTTAATACACTATTAAGAGGGCATTTCCAATATATTCTGTACAGACTGCCCATCCTAGAAAGGCTAAAATTGCAAGAGTTTTTTACATGAATACCCATGCATAGGACTTTTACGTGAAAAAGCGATACTCATTCCATAAGCTAAAAAAGTGCGAAGAATAAATTCACTTCAAGAAGCGCCACATTAAAAAAAAGTGTCTCCAACGCGATAACCTTTCATATAGCAGAGATAATTGTGCTTCTAACATCCCATCCGTCATCATATAACTCTGACTTCAACAGTAAGTAATTGTCATATAAATAATGCTTAAAATGAACCATTCTACTTTTACGTCCAACTTTGTGCATCCGATTATCAAACCGGATTCAGCTGCACTTTGAGCGTTTGTGAATAATACGAACTCCTCTCATTACCAAATACATCAATAAAGAAGGTGAAGAAAAAGGGGAAGCACTAAATGCTTGATTATAAGCGTTTACGAAAAGAAAACTGTAAGAAAGGGAAAACACAGGAAGATTCTCAGGAAACCTTTTGGGGATGACTCACTAAACTAAGGCTACACAAAAGTCAGAGAAAGATATACGATACGAATTTGTAGAAGGAATTTAGCAAACAAAGATTTACATGAGATGGTTTTTTTTTTGAACGCTCGCATATATTTCTCCCTAACGGAGTCCGCAGTTCGAGACTAATGCATAGAAATGAAAGCTCATGTACTCTCGTTTGATGTTAGCAAGCTTATACAGCTGATCATTTAGCAACATTCATATTTGAACACACTTCCAGCTTAACTAAAAATAAAAACTCAAGCGAAAATTTATTCTTTTGCCTCAACTTCGCGAAAATGGGCATTGCTCAAACTAATCCCCCACAAGCTAGTAAAGCACGCTAGCGTTCCGAGAAAGCGTGGCTCTCCCAGATTTTAGAGGAACAAAACCGCGATTTAAATGGCATGAAGGATCATTTCAGTCTTAACTAAGAATGGAGAAACTTATAGATGTAACGCTGTTACCGAATTCGCCTTCCTTAACTGTGAAGCGCATCTTTGCAAACAGCCTGTACGAAAACTCAATAATTGATCAAAAAAGTGAAATCCAACCTAAAACAACAACAGATGGAGTTATTAATTGACACACGTTATTACATCGAAATCCAACTTTTGCGCTGTTGTTCTGGATTAA